ACGAGCTAAATTGTTGATAAACACAGCACGAAGGCACGGGTTGTAGTGATACTCACTGCTGCCTGACTTTTAAATTTGTGCAAAACTAAATTCACCTCTGCAACTCTTGACAGATTGTGCTATCTGTTTTGATACAAATTTGGTGAGACATGTCAGAAGTAAATCATATTTACTAGTAGCTCCATCAAGGATGTTTGTGACATTGTGCTGATGTGTGGTTTTCTCTTTCAGTATGATGGAATCATCCTTCCTGGCAAGTAAAAAAAGAGGCGACTTTGTACAGACACAGAAAAAAATAAATCATGGTCTCTAATTCCTTGTTTGTCTCAATGTGAACTGTGGATTAATCACAGTAACTAGTGTGAATTTGTCGGTGAAACCTCACTTTGGGCCGAAGGACCATATATTGTCCTTCACTATGCAGCAGCCCTTGTGTCAGGGGACTTTATACCATCTATATGGGGGCTGTCGGGTAGCCTAGTGGTTAAAGCGTTCGCTCGTCACGCCGAAGACCCGGGTTCGATTCCCGACATGGGTACAATGTGTGAAGCCCATTTCTGGTTTCCCCCGCCGTGATATTGCTGGAATAATGCTAAAAGCGGCGTAAAATCAAACTCACTCACTCACTCACCCATATATATGACCCTGAGAAAACATCCCTTTTCAACTGAATTAAGAAGTCAAAATTAAGTTCACAAAATCAACTTATTATCCATTATTTTACCATGACAGACAACATAAGACTTGAATAAAATAATTTGTTTTATTAAACATTTTGGACTTTGGAGGTTCTCAGGTAACGAAGGAAGTGGTCGACACTCTGCCGATAATCCTGTCAATCAGAATCTTAAGAAATGAAGGTAGATGAGGAAGTGGCTGACGCCTGCTTCCAAATCCTATGCGTCAGGATTTAAAGTGAAAAAGGTTCGGGCACCCTGTATTGATCCCATTCGCTGGGATGATTTGAAAATAGGGGGTTGCGCGTCCCAAAGCTGTTGTGCTCGAGATGCTTTCCCCAATATTTGATCTTCCCAAATTGAAAAAAAAATATTACTGATGAGGCCAATGATATTCTGCTGCAGAGGATTACCTGGAGTAGGATAAGAAACATTAACCTGAAAACCTGAGTGTTGTATCATGGTGTTAATTGTACATGGTGAAACTATTTGGTATTACAAATATAGATGAGTAGAACATGAATGATACACAAGTAGATGAATTAACATGGGATGGTGATGAGACTAAACACTGGTGGTGGGTCAGCAGTCTTGGGCGCTTAACCAAAGATAAAAACGAAAACAATAAAATTTAGAAAATTTCAATTAAGAGGTGTTAATAAATATGAAACATTCGTGAAAATGTAAGTGTATAACTGATTAGTGGATTAAGTAGTACTACACCATTAAATTGCTAAAAATGAATGCGAGATGTTAGATTAAGCTATGACTAAATGATCATTGAATTGTGTCTGTCATGCCAAACTGCACTCAACACTCAAAAAGAGGTTACCGTGATGCAAGCAAATAACGGCTAATTTTTATTATGCACGCACGTAACATAACACGTTTATAGTACCAGACAGCCAATTTGAAAAGAAAGATTTGACCCGAGTACCAGCGGACAACAGATAGCCACAAGAATGAGTGGTGGACAGTGAAGCTGTAATCTGGACGAATCAATGCCAACAAACCGTTGAACAAGGGCTGTGACATTCTCAACACATTCCCCAGGGATATATGTCTGACTATTAGAATTAATTAGACTGTTCACTCCAACAGTTCAATCTATTACTTATTTAAATCAAAGTGTAGTATTGTTATTGAAATGGACTTCAAAATCTCATATTTGTTACACTAGACTTGAGTCTCTTCGATTATCCAGCGTTATATATCTCCAGTCTATTGTGATGAATTATATCCAGGACCCATTTGCTACCATGGGTTCCTGGAAGTGTCTAAACCATCTCTTTTTTTTTGGTAACGTCCCATATTTCTCGAGAATGAATATGATTCGATTCGATTCGACTCCTACTTCTCATAGCAAACGCGTTCAGGGTATTTCATGTATGCATGTTATTATCCCCTGCCACGAAGTGGAAGGGGGATATAGGAATGGGTGCCGTCCGTCCGTCACGTTTCGTTTCCGGAGCAGATCTTGAAAACCGTACCACATTTCTTCACCAAACTTGGCACATAGATAGATCTAGTGGTGACCTGGTGCCTTTTGATAGTTTGGGATTTAAAAAATAAATATTTTTTGAGTTTCCATGGCAGCGACTGATTTAGACTGAAAATGGCGGTAGTCCTCGTTTCCGGAGCAGATCTTGAAAACCGTACCATATTTCCTTCACTAAACTTGGCACATAGATAGATCTAGTGGTGAACTGGTGCCTTTTAATTGTTTGGGATTTAAAAAATAAATATTTTTTGAGTTTCCATGGCAGCGACTGATTTAGACTGAAAATGGCGGTAGTCCTCGTTTCCGGAGCAGATCTTGAAAACCGTACTATATTTCTTCACCAAACTTGGCACATAATGCCATCTCACAGTATTGAATACATTTCCTTTCTTGCTGGTAAGTTCTGCATTGCTTGAGTGTATGTTCCTCCAAAAGTGTCATGGACACAGTTCTTGCATTCACTGACTAACTTCATGCAGAAACACAACTCATTACAAATACAACAGTGTAACTGATCTTAAACCTACTCAACTGTTAAAACACTATATATTCTTGTCAACCATACTCTGTACTTCACTTGCTTGATAACGGTGTCAGAACCTTCACCGAAACCATCGCTCCTAATTGTAATAAAGAAGTTCGTCCATATGTCTCATCCTTACTCATTACAAATTCAGTTACATATTCTATCATAAACTGCAGATGGAAAAACAACACCAGTAATAAATTTTTTTAGTGCTGCAATTAGGCCATTTACATTGCACACAACCCGACATGTCATTGGCGGGGGATGTGAGTATTTCATGCTTGTTTGAAACTCGAATAATACAGGAAAGGTCATCCGTGACTGCATCTCTTTCTAAAATTGACACGGTCCACATCAGTTAATCTTCAGCAAGTTGTAACATTCAAAACAAAAGATCACCTAAGACGTTTTTCTTTCTTTTTCTTTTTTTGAACCCGCAGTTGTGTTAATTGCAAATTGGAAGAACGGATCCTAGCATGAGTTACCTCCCTTACATCACTCGAACGTGAGCAGTAAACCATATCATTTGGCTGAGAAGGAAGACCACAGTGTCATCCATATCCTCCGCCATCCTTGCAAGCTTTCAATTGTAAATAACATATCTTATTCCTTCCAGAAAACGATAGGCACTAGTTATTTCTTTGCTCAAGTGTATGCAAAGTATGTTAAACAGTTCATGATTTATGCTCTTCGAACGATCCCGACGCCCATTAGAGCAAATAATTCCCTATATTCCCAGATGTTTTCAGACAATATTTGAGGTTGTCAAGGTAACCACGTTCACCAATAATACATAGTTCTTCTTACATGCTTCTGGAGGGATGTGTTTAATATCTAAAAATTCTCGGACGAAAGGGCCATGGATTCTGGGGCACCCCTGGCAAGGTGACAATGCTGCTGCTTCCAGACTAACGCCAGTCTCTGAAATGAAGATCTTTTGCAGTTGTTAACAGTTGTTAAATATCTTAATAAAATAATAATACGGAGCCCAGAGACTTTTTTCATTTTAAGAAACTGAAACTGCAGTGATGTAGACTTGCTAAATATTATTGACTTCCATGGGCTGTGTTGGATATATTTGTTTCAGGGTCTGTATGGCAGACTAGCTGCTTCTTTGTGTGCTTCATACCTTGCGCTCAGCATTACGGGGATAAATTGAGAATAGGTCGGCTCGCACTATATAAAACCGGTATATGTCCGAACTAGTACAAGCAGCTACACAGACAGCCAGACGCGCGCGCGAATGCACGTCGCTATATATACCTACACTCAGGAAATAGACGTAAACCTGGCGTTAAACCCCATTTCACCTCACATGTATGAGGGAGTAAGTGAACGTTGTATGTATCCGCTGTCTAATGTTCCATCTTTGTCAGTAACCAGTCGATTCAAACACACCTGCGGTCAATAGCAGGAGTAACTATCTACGCCAACGGGGTATATATGATAGCACCATAAGGAACCCTTTGACCAACCGATGACCACCCCCTCCATCAGGACACCGCAATATTCCAGCTGTATGACGGCGGTCTGTAAATAATCGAACCTGGCCCATGACTGACATGCACATCGATCTATGCAGTTGGGATACGATAACATGCATCAACCGAGTTACAAAGTCTGACGCGACTATGCTTGTCGTAAGAGGCGACTAACGGGATCGGGTGGTTAGGCTCGCTGACTTCGTTGATGCATGTCATCGATCTCAATTGCGTGGATCGATGCTCATGATCTTAATCACTGGATTGTCTGGCCCAAACTCGATTATTTACAGACCGCCGTCATATAACTGTAATATTGTTGAGTGCGGCGTTAATCAACACACCAACCAACCTACCAACACACAAAGTCTGACCATCCGATCCGGTTAGTCGCCTCTTACAAGCATGGTTTGTTGAAGACCAACTTCTTACCCGGATCTTCACGGGTGTCTCCACACATTGTGTAGCTGTGTATTTGCTATATCAGCTAATTGGTCGGCCCACTGGTGTGCAAATGCGACAACACTTTCCGTCTTTTTTTACACATTTGTGTATTTTCCATTGGTAGTCTTGACTATTCTGTAGATCCAACTGTATAGGGTCATTCCATCTCCCGCCGAAACCAAAGCGGTCGGGTAGCCTAGTGGTTAAAGCGTTCGCTTGTCACGCCGAAGACCCGGGTTCGATTCCCGACACGGGTACAATGTGTGAAAACCCATTTCTGGTGTCCCCCGCCGTGATACTGCTGGAATATTGCTAAAAGCGGCGTAAAACCATACTCACTCACTCCCGCAGAAACCATAGTACAAGGAACACAGATTTATATGATATTTATTACAATTTGGTTAAAGCATTAAATATATCACAGAAAGGCTTATGTATTCTGTACAACAGTAATGATGTAACGAAAGGCTTCGATTTAGCTACACCAGAGCGAGAGACCATCTTGAAATGAGTTGAGTCTTGGTGTTATCACTTATGAAGTGACTGTCGAAAAGACTTCTACACATGCACACTGGATACCTCTTGGATGACTTCTGTGTCCTCGGCAGCCAGGGTGCCGTTGTAGAAAGGTATCTTAGCGCTAAGGTGATCCAAACTCCCATACTTTAACAGACTTACGATCACCACAGCGCTATTAAAGGTTGTTTTGTACAACAGCACCCAGGGAGGAACAGTGTCAGGCAACCCTCTTGGACAAGATAACTGGATGTTGCCACTCCCAATGACATGGCTACAATGCAATCACGTGTCTTACACCGGTCTACCATTGCAATTACCCTCGAGTCACACTACATCTCGCAATGTGTAATGACTTACCCATGGTCCTGCAACCCACAATGTAATCAAAATAGTCACATGACTATGTAATCAGACAATTGACAATGTAATCGCTCGGTTCACCCTGGTGTCGCATGACTCTCTATGTAATCAAACGAGTCACAGTTGGAGGCAGTTAACACTATGAAATGTAATGTAATGCTGATACATCGCATGCATATATGCTGATTCGGTGAGCCAAGTGCCCGTGATATAAACATTTTATTACATCGTTCAAAACGGACGGAACATTGTCGGAACTCCATAACGTGTTTCACTGATAAAACTATTTCCGACGAGTAGACGTAGTGTCTATCAGTACATCATACGTTTCCAATACACAGACGCATTTACGACGCAAGACATACCTCATTCTACATTTTTGTCAATAACGCGAAATAGAGAAATATACCCCGATTTTATGTAGCTTGTCCCAGGAGTGTGTGAGTGAGTATGGTTTTACGCCGCTTTTAGCAGTATTCCAGCACGGCGGGGGTCACCAGAAATGGGCTTCACACATTGTACCCATGTCGGGAATCGAACCCGGGTCTTCGGCGTGACGAGCGAACGCTTTAACCACTAGGCTACCCGACCGCCCCTGCTTGTCCCAGGAACACGTATGTAGAAGAAACCTATGCATACAAATATAACAGTTTAATGGAAGTCGCGAAAATAACGTTGACATCAGTAACGGTTGACGTATGGAGACGGTTGTGTCAGGGGTCATATAAGGCACATATATATATATCGGCGGAAACATTCTTCAACTGGCTTCCGACTATCGACCCCTCTAATCCTGCTTTTAAAGTTTATGTATTGGAGCCATTATTTTGGAACATACATTTACTCTGTCTACCTCTGGATGTCTATCATAAACGCTTTATAAACCTTTGTGATGTTTGACAGAAAACGGTAAATGATAATCCATCTACGTTGTCGACATCAACGGCGTTATACTTCGTTCCTGAGATGATCTGTTCGTGTAGATTTTATACAGTGAAGCCCCTTTAGACTGGGCTCCGTCGTCAGAACAATTAGGAATGTATATATACATACAAATCATGATTCTCCGTAACTATTTCGTTAATCCGGACGACTTTACCGGATGGAAGGAGTTTCACTGCATATTTCATGCACCTTCTTCCAGAGGCAAGGGAGATAACTGACCTTAAAAGTCTAGTTTTATAGTCAGTTATCTCCCTTGCCCCGAGAAGATGGTCATGCACGTAACGCACGTATTTTAAGTAATACACACAATGAAATGTCCACCAATATTAGGAATACCTCTTTCGAAAATGTCATGATTGTTGTCCTTACTTATCGACAGCTTATTTATGTACAGGTTTTCAAACCTAATGACCAATTAGCAGAGGGGCGCTTAACCTTATTCCAAGAGTAGATGATACAGTATGGGTAAATGCGAGACCAGCTGAAAACTCAACATTATTTCCACGACGTATAAGATATGTACAATATTGCTATGGTTTATTTACACCGTCTGCTTTGCACAACGCATGCGCAATGCCTAGTTCGCCTTGCCTTCCGCCTTCAATCCCTTCACGCACTCCACCACCGCCTTCCTGGAGCCAGGGGTATTCTGGAGGTAGGCGAAATATGCATTGCGCATGTGCGGGCGGTTCAAAGGATGCACTTCATCAAGCTTGTCAAGATCCATGCGGTAGAAGTCTTGTTTTGTTCGCGTGTAATCTTCGTCGATTTTCTTTGTTGCGTTCTGACTGTATTTGTCACGGAGCTCCCGCCTGAAAGAGAAGAAATATTATTAATAATAATAATAATAATGATAATAATAATTTGTATCAGTAATTAGATATCCATCATAGAGCATTACAATATAAATATTAAGATAAAAAACACGTGACCATAATACATAAAAAATATTAATGTACATACAGTACATACACAAGCTATATACTAAGATGAATATTTAAATTAAGTATAGTAGAGCACATACATGTCATTGTCAAGTAATGGAAATATAAGATTATGTTTGATGCCATCCTCGATTATCCAGTGTATTAATAATACATCCACTGACTTCATTCTATGACAGTTACCATGGGCCCATTGTAAGGTAACAGGCAGGGGATTAGGTTTGCACTGTTTTAGTGGACGTTTTCAGAGGAAGCTGGTAACTGCAAAAGCTTTGTTTGAGAAATGACACCACCACATCCATCTCTGATATCAGTAACACTTCACAGAACTGTGTAATGTGATCGGCAGGATTATTCAATGTGGTGTATGTCTAGACGAATGAGTCCAGGGTATTTATCGCAACAGAAAGGAGAGATTATTATGGATGATGCCATGAATGAGATGCATTGTAACTTAACACGTAATGTGAATATTCCTTCCCAAGCTCTTTTGCTTGTTTATGTCGACTTTATAATTTACTATTAAATATATTTCTCCGTAATTCCTATTAAATCAATTTTGTAATAAAAACCCGCATGAGTGAATTTTAGTATAACCTTCTATATGGATAGCCGCCGACACCCACCTGTCAACTCACACACATGGCCGTACGCGACAAACTGGAAACTTTACACGGGGATACAAACTGGTACTGGCAGTGTCAGTAAATCTTATTTTAAGACTAACGGGATCTGTTCGTTCATTACATCTTACATTATATAGTTTTTACAATCATGTACTTGACAGCCAAGGTCCAATTGCCCGTATAAATGCTGCTGTAGTCGTGGGCGTGGGCGTGGGCTTTGGGGATGGGGTGGTCGTGGGCGTTGGTGTGGGGTTGGGGATGCTCGTGGGTATGGGTTTGGTTCTGGGGGTGGGCGCGGACGTGGGCTTAGGAGTGGGAGGGGGCGGGGGCGTGGGTTTGGGGATGGTCGCGGGCATCACCTACCTTAGTTCAGGAACATCACTGTAGTATAACGGTTTGGTGGCGAGCTCCTTGGAGTCGAGCGTGACGACAGGGAACTTGGGCAGTCTGGTGCTTCCTTCCTTTTTAGAGCGCTTCTCTCGATCCCGAATCTTCTCGCTGACCACAGAGAACAACACACATATAGTTAACGTCGCCCACCCAAGTAACGCATGCTACATACAGTACATTGGATTAACGCAGTTGTGAACATGTCTCTGTTTAATCACGCCGTGTCATCTATATGTACATGAGGACAAAACAAAAATCACTTTGTAGAACCCACTAGCAAGGGTAAGGTGAGGTGAGGTGAAATTGGGTTTAACGTCGCGTCCAAGATTATTGCACTTATATAGCGACGTGCATGCACGTGTATGTGTGTGTGTGGCTGCTTGTACTAGACCGGACTGATGCCGATTTATAGTGCTAGCTCACTGAGATACCATGCCGCAGTTTAACATGAATACCCCACTCAGACACAGTATACTGACTCCGAGCCGACCAGTCCTTGTTTTAGCCCCTTAATGCCGAGCGCCAGACAGGGTAACAACAAGTACAATCTTTTAACGTCTTTTTGTATGACGCGGCCCGGGATCGAACCCTAGACCTTCCGCTCTCCGGGCGGACGCTCTACCACTAGACCACGGAGGCGGTCAGCAAGGGTAAGGGTATGGTGCAGACAGACCAAGGATCATAATCTGATCGAATATGGAATTCGAACCCACGATCAGAGGTTTGTGGATCGACGACGGGCGACAACGCTGTACAGTGAATTACGACGCCGTGATTACGAACGGGGCCATCGTGTGCCTGCTATGCAGAGTATATAGTTGTCTTCAAGATCACATTATGATTTATATAGAATTTGTATGAAAGACCATCCGAAATGTACATGTTTGAAAATGCATATCATCATCTCCTGGAATGAACACTGTTTAGAAGCCAGCGTGTAATACTGTTTAACAGCCTTAAAATCTTGTGCATTATATACCTGTTGATTTGAACCTACAGTTATAGGGCAATATAGATACAAAAAGAACTGTTCAATCTACCATGTATTTCTCTCTGTGTGGAGTAAACTACATTTATAACGAACACGCCTATAACGAACTGGCGGATATATAGAACTGTTTCTTGCCCTGTTCATTTACTGTGTATAGGCTGTATACTTGTAACAGAGCTCCAGATAAGCTGCGTATCTGCGTAAAATACGCATCAGAAATGCAGAAATACGCAGTAAAATAAAATCAAAGCGTATCAAATACGCAACGAACATTACAGATATTCTACAAAAATAAAACTTGTGCGTATCATCAAAATATTGTGAAGTACCCCTGCGTATTCGATCAGCAAATCAGCAACTTATTTTGAAATTATAAACGGGCATTCCGTCAACCTTGCCAAACTCCACGATGACAGTTACATCATGATCATTTGCCATCACGCTTTCTTGTGGAAGTAACGTGGTATTTTTTAGTCCTATAAAGCTCTCGAACCCACACAACACCAGTTTGCAGGGACTAGATGAATAGAGTTTTTAAATATTTAACTTAAATACCCACATGTGTAAAAAGTATTGGGTAACAGAAATTTGAATACCCAGATAGAATTACTGATACCCAATGATTTTAAAATGCATGGGTAAAATACCCACAACACCCAAAGCTTATCTGGAGCTCTGCTTGTAACGAACAACGGTTATAACCAACTAAAATTTGTGGTCCCTTTAGTTCGTTATTACCGTAGTTTACTGTAATCTGAATTTTAAAATTGTGAAATGTGTACCAGGGAGAGGGCAATCAAGGTTGGTAGTTGTCCCCCAAATCCTGTTCACTTATTGAAATATGTTGAAATGATATAGGTGACTTACTCTCGCTTCTCCATCTCCTGCTGCCTGTTGACGGCCCGGGCGGACGTGGAGATGCGGGGCAGGAACTTGGTGTCCATGCTGTAGTCCACCCAGGGGTCACACAGCCCGATAGCGGTCTTCCGGCTCACGAACCGGTGCTGTACCTCTTCCGGCTGCAACAGAGAGCATCATGGGTAAATATTACAGTGACGGAACTCTTTCTTTTCTGAACACTAGAAGCACGTGTCACTTAAGATGATCAGTACGTTTGCGGCAACACGAACAGCTGGTTGGTTCAGAATCTCAGCACAATTATACACATTTTACTCCGCTTTGATCAGTATAAACAGTTGGTCGAATGTGTTTTAGCATCTGGTTACCCCTTTGGTGAAACTCGCGAGCATTAGTAATGAGCGGAGAGACCAAGGGTCATAATCGGGTCGAATCTGGTATTTGAACCCACGACCAGCTGATCTCGAGCAGACACAGAGACGTAACTCTACACGTGAGCCCTTAGCCCTTCCATTGTCCGTGATGGCTAGAAAAAAGGATAGGTGACGACCGTGTATGTCTCATGAGGCCACCTTTTGGATGTATGTTCCCTTTAATCTCTGCATAAATAGTCACGACTGAACCGAAATGCTGTTCAAAGCGGCCAAAGCACTCACAAATAGGCATATAATACTTGTCCAACAACACAATCACTGACTCAATCACGTTCGTTTGTTTGTCTGTTGTTTAACGCCGCATTCAGCAATATTCCAGCTATACGACGGCGGTCTGTAAATGATCGAGTCTGGACCAGACAATCCAGTGATTGATATCAAGAGCTTCGATCAAAGCTGTTGGAATACGATGACATGCATCAACCACGTCAGCGAGCCTGCCCACCCGTTCCCGTTAGATGCTTCTTACAGACCTATTCTAATCAGGACCTTCACGGGTTACTCACTCATGTACTCACTCACTCACTCACTCACTTTCTCACTTTCCGTGAAGATCCGGGGTAGAATAGGGCTTCAGCAACCCATGCTTGCCGCAAAGGGCGACTATGCTTGTCGGAAGAGGCGACTAACGGGATCGGGTGGTCAGGCTCGATGACTTGGTTGATGCATGTAATCGTGCCCCAATTGCGTGGATCGATGCTCATGGTGTCAATCACTGTATAGTCTGGGCTAGACTCGAATATTTACAGACCGCCGTCATATAGCTGTAATATTGCTGAGTGCGGCGTTAAACAACTAACTCTCTCACTCACCCACCCTCACTGAGTCCCCCACCCACTCACGCACTCACCAGCTCCACCAGGTATCGGACGGTGGAAGTGTTGTAGTAGGGCTCCAGTGTGTTGAAGATGTATGGAGTGTGTTTCTTACTGAAACAACAAGCAATGTAATCAGCCACTTCAATTATACATAACACAGGGATACGTATTGATCAGTCCGATCAATAACGGTGTTGCTCAGTAGATCAGTACAACATTTCCTAATTGATGACGTGATCAGAGCCGTGTTCAATGGCGTGCATGTCACAGCTGTTCCCCGAACTACCTGTCAATCAGTTCCCCTTTAAAGGCTAAACAGAGATTCAAGAATCCCGCTTCATGACAAGTGAACATGTGTTGTAATAGAAACAGGTCTTGTTTAAGGGAGAATTGTTTTTTACAGGTATTTAAAATGTTAATATGTTTATTATTAAGAAATCGGCGCCAAGGACATTCTTAGTGATGGGAGAAACCTAATCACGATACGATATATCGGATACTTTGCTCACGAAACGATACGAATCACGATACACTTTATAATTGCGTTAGCTTCATATAAAAAATGAGACAACAAAAGATTTTTTGATTTTCTTTTCAGGGAATGCAGAGAAACTAAACAAAGAAAGTATACACTTGAAAATTGGATTTAACCAAAAAAATACAAAAGTTACTAGGCTGGAAACAGTCGCCCATACGCTGCAACTTATGGTCCAAACCCAGCCATGATACCCTTATCAAATACATCACCATCCAATAACATTCTTTTCTTCATTTTTAGCCACCATCAAACCTGGGTTGAAACTTCTTTTTGCCCGGCAGTGTAATTGTTGGCATTGAAAAAGACATAAATGGTCGGACTCTATGTATGAATTTACAATACCTGATGACGTCGCTACGACCCACTTACACTTCAGGTTTGATTATTTTCGACTTCTCCCTCTTGAGCGCTCCCTCCAGGCGTTTGAGCTCCTCCCTGAAGAACTCCCTCTGCTTGGAGCGGCCATCAGGATCTACACATGCGAACATCACGGATTAGCATTGGGGAGGGATCACCAGAGGAGTTCGGGGACAAGTTGTGTTTATTCAGAGTGAGTGAGTGAGTTTGGTTTAACGCCGCTTTTAACAGTTTTCCAGTTATATCACGGCGTGTCAGCTTAATGTGGGAGAAAAAGCCCGAAGTGATGCAGGTCTCAGACGTTTACCACTTCGGTGAAACCCACGAGCACGGGTATGGTGCTGACAAACCTAGAAACATAATCGGGGCGAACTGGGATTCGAACCCACAATCATAGGTTTCTGGCGTGCCCAAGGGACGCAACTCTGCACAGCGAATCGCGGCGCCTTAGACGACTGGGCCACCTGGGCCACCAATGTGTATATGTGTATATGGGTCCAACTGCATGATTGGACAAACGTGTAGGGACTTCAGATTGTTGGTTTGGTTCAACTTCGCTATAAACAAAAATTCGGTTACATCAAGACGATTCAGCAGGATGGGGAGGAAAGGCCAACGTGATGCAGATCTTAGACGTGGTCTCGCGTTTGTGAGTACGGGTATGGTGCTGACAAACCTGGGAACATAAACAGCGAGAATCGGGACTCGATCCCACGATCAAAGGCTTCGTTCACGCCTAAGGGACGCAACTCTTCGCGATTCGCGGAGCATAAAACGACATGGCCACTCGTGCCTCCAACGTGAACAGAATCCCTGTTTTAACATTGTGTCTGAAATGGACTCGTCTCCAAGGGGACACATGACAGTGGTGTGTATCAGTGGGATGAACAAAATGCTTCTCACGTGTTTATCTGTTACCAAGGCTCCACAACTGCGATACAGCGAAACCTTTCTAATCCGTTCAGTGAACAACAGAATCGCGATATTGTAAAAACCTCCTAATCAGTTCAAAGTGAACACGAAACGGGATAAGTTCTCTGTTAGTGTCGGGATAAAAACGCATCTTTGGTATAGGGAGTAAATTTCCTTTTATTGCAATAAGCTTTGCCAACGGTAATCGTCCGGGGGAATCTGCCATAACGAGGCTTCACACTATGCAATGCCGTTTTGCCGTTGGAGTGTTTTTACGTCAACATCCGTGCTATTAACTTCAGACATGTCCCCTGTAACTACAATAGTGAAGCAATCACTCGTGCACAATGTTGTTTACAGATATCGATCTACACAGTCTGTCAAGGCCTGCCAGCTTGTCTCAGGTGTGTGATGGTATATCGAAGCAGCTGTATGGCCGCGTAGACAGCGTGCACCTGCGAACACATACACCCTTACATCGGAACCGCCTTGAAATCGATAGGAGGACTGTTCGAATATAATGACTCGGTTCAATCCTTAGAGGAACTGTATTGAAAGATTGATAGGACTTTAAACGTTTGTCGTCATAGGTATTGATGTTATCGTAAAGATATGTCCCCGTGCATTGTGAGGCTATGCAAGACTCTTGTATAGGATAGGTCGTAGGTCGGGGCTGTATAGTGACGGGGTGGGATCCCGACCTAGGGGTCTATACCATGTGCGCACCGCTTCAAAGCCGTGTGATCATGATTCACTTCATAACAACAAGATTACAAGATTGGGTTCAACAGTACGACAAAAAGTCAATCTGCTATCAAACATCTTATTTCTAATGTTTTAGTCTGGAACTGTTTTCGAATATTCTATATAGAACATATTCTTAAAATATTCATCTTTTATAAAGAAATATAACACATATATATGTAAAATATATACATGAATGATTTAAAATTCATACATCTTTTCACATTCAAGCAAAGCAAAAGCATGGGGGATATGTGCAGTGAAATGTCCTCTAAATGGAAATGATATAACGACTGTCTCGGCAATAGTAGGTGGTGGTTGGTTATATGGTCACGAGTCATGTTTTTACAAGGAGCCCCTGGTGTGTAATCATAATACGTGACACTAAGTCACACACACACACGGGCCGGGGTCGAATGCCACACAGGTAAAATTCATAAATCTGTTTTGGATGACTTCCACCTCTTTGAATTTTTACCCAAAATTACGTGTAACAAGAAATCCAATTGGTTTAGAATTGGTCCATATTGTATTACACCACAACCTTCCTAACCTAACTACCCAATCTGGCCATCGTTTGTTTTGTTTGTGTGTATGTCGTTCGACGCAGCGTTAATTTCCAGCTGCATTACAGACGTAAATAGATCTGTAGAGCGATCTCTAGAGACCAGACAAACCAGTGATTGACATCAGGAGCATCGACCAATTGGTTTGGGTTTTGGGTTGTTGTTTTACGCCGCACTCAGCAATATTCCAGCTATATGACGGCGGTCCGTAAAATAATCGAGTCTGGACCAGACAATCCAGTGATTAATATCATGAGCATCGATCCACTCAATTGGGATCGATGACATGCATCAACCAAGTCAGCGAGCCTGACCACCCGATCCTGTTAGTCGCCTTTTACGACAAGCATAGTCACCTTTTACGGCAAGCATGGGTTGCTGAAGACCTATTCCACCCCGGAATCTTCACGGGTACGACCAATTGGGATACGGTGACATGCATCAAGAAAGTCAGCGAGCCTGATCACCCGATCCCGTCAGTCGCCTCTTACGACAAGCATAGTCGCCTCTTACGACAAGTATGAGCTGCTGAAGACCAATTCAACACAAATTTTCATGGGAGACTCGCGCCATGGGCCCTCAGTATAAACCGCGTTCGCTAATAGGAAATTAATCTATGTATAATGGATTTCTATGAGGTATTCACTGCCATGTTATCATGCAAGTACAACGTACATCGAAGCCGGAATGAGGGGATTATCTGACACGAATCTTTCCATATGCAAATCTCATAAGCTGGTTATGGAGCTAAGCTGTTTCACACTGATACATTTAAAGCTATATATATCTACAAGTTCTGTCCAACAGGGAATAAACGTTATAACGTGATTTCTTTCACAAGATATAACACAATACGGTTCAGCATCAAAGCCTCCATGTTAATGATATACGGTCAGGCAGTACCCCGTAACACTTGATGGATTTGTCCATAATGGTTGTGAAAGCAATGTGGTTATGATCTGCTCTCGGCCTGTTGTAAAGCGCCACTTAAGTATTGTGCCTCTAATGAACTTTAGGAGGGAGTATTTAGCGTTGGTTATGAAGGCGGCTATATTGTTATGCAACCATGGGAACAACTTGGTTACAGTCTATGTCTACAATAAACATTAAAGCCATATATAGTCATTCGTGAATACTCGCCCTTTTCCGTATCTGCCCCGGAATAACACGAGTGGTCACGAATGCGCAATAGTTACCGTCAGGTTCTTCCTGGGGGTTTTCCTCCCTCGGACTCTTCTTTTTGGTTTTCTTGCGCCCTTTACTCTTACCCCCTGTCACGGTAGTGACGAAATAAACATTACAACTCGTATGCAGGTCATATCAGCGTTGCTTATATTATCAACTATACGGTAATTTGTTTTCAGTTCAATGTCTAGAAACATACTGGTGCAGGTTTAACGTACCAACATGTTTATAGGAATAAGTATTTGTTATTTTAGAAAAAATCCACAAAATAAGTTATTCTTACATTCGACATTTGCAGTTCAATGTCTAAAAACATACTGGTGCAGGTTTAACGTACCAACATGTTTATAGGAATAAGTATTTGTTATTTTAGAATAAATCCACAACAAAATGATTATTTGCCATCAGAATCTCACCATTCCCCGAATACGAATATAACTAATTGTCCCAAAATTGACATGCAATCAGCTGATATTTTCGATAGTCTGAGTAGACATCAAAAACGTTTCAGCCTTCAAACCAAGTCTAATCTTGGGGAACAAAGGTGAAGAAATAATTTATTTGTTGTGGACCTTAGGACATATTTAACAGCCAAACTATCTGTATGACAAAAGTCAAAGAAGTGCACTTCCCGATGTTATTCATACTGACAAATACAGAACGGATAGGATGTCCTTTATGATAATGATTGTCTGCCAGATTCTACTTTCGCGGAACCGGAAGCAGATGAGATTATAGTCCGGAATGTAGTACACGTTGGGGCAGATAACTGATCATCAACTATAGTTTAGAGATTTGCACTAGTCTGTCTTACAGACCCTGATACAAATATATATCAAATACAGCCCATGCAAGTCTATAATGTTTGGCAAGTCTAGATCACTGCAGTATCTGAAAATGAATAGAGTCACTGGGCCCCTTTTTATTATATTTTTATCACGATAACTGAACAACTGGGTTTTTTTCTGTACGATATGTTCATTTCCGAGACTAGATGTTAGTCTAAGATTTGCACAAGCAATGGTAGGATAATTGTGAATATTGGAACATGGATTTGCAATCGTCGTAGCTCCACAACTTTCCAACTTTAACGTAATCTCAGAACATTTGTACCCCAATGAACGATCGTAACGCCTATATTAATGGAGATTTATAACTGTCTTCGATCTATGACAATCGCAACTCCCATACTTCAACACAGACTTACTATTTTCTTAGAACTACGACAACCGCAGCTCCCATACTTCAACACAGATTTACGAGCCATACTTCAACACAGACTTACTGTTGTCTTAGCTATAGGACAATCGCAACTCCAATACTTCAACACAGATTTACTGTTGTCTTAGCTATAGGACAATCGCAACTCCCATACTTCAACACAGATTTACTGTTGTCTTAGCTATAGGACAATCGCAACTCCCATACTTCAACACATATTTACAGTTGTCTTAGCTACAGGACAATCGCAACACCCATGTGTCAACACATATTTACTGTTGTCTGAGCTATAGGACAATCGCAACTCCCATACTTCAACACAGATTTACAGTTGTCTTAGCTATAGGACAATCCCAACTCCCATATGTCAACACATATTTACTGTTGTCTTAGCTATAGGACAATCGCAACTACCATACTTCAACACAGATTTACAGTTGTCTTAGCTACAGGACAATCGCAACACCCATGTGTCAACACATATTTACTGTTGTCTTAGCTATAGTACAATCGCACCTCCTATACTTCAAAACAGATTTACTGTTGTCTTAGCTATAGGGCAGTCGCAACTCCCACATGTCAACACATATATACAGTTGTCTTAGCTACAGGACAATCGCAACTCCCATACTTCTACACACATATACAGTTGTCTTAGCTATAGGACAATCGCAACTCCCATACTTCAACACATATTTACTGTTGTCTTAGCTATAGGACAATCGCAACTCCCATACGTCAACACAGATTTACTGTTATCTTAGCTATAGGACAATCGCAACTCCCATACTTCAACACAGATTTACTGTTGTCTTAGCTATAGGACAATCGCAACTCCCATACTTCAACACATATTTACAGTTGTCTTAGCTACAGGACAATCGCAACACCCATGTGTCAACACATATTTACTGTTGTCTGAGCTATAGGACAATCGCAACTCCCATACTTCAACACAGATTTACAGTTGTCTTAGCTATAGGACAATCCCAACTCCCATATGTCAACACATATTTACTGTTGTCTTAGCTATAGGACAATCGCAACTACCATACTTCAACACAGATTTACAGTTGTCTTAGCTACAGGACAATCGCAACACCCATGTGTCAACACATATTTACTGTTGTCTTAGCTATAGTACAATCGCACCTCCTATACTTCAAAACAGATTTACTGTTGTCTTAGCTATAGGGCAGTCGCAACTCCCACATGTCAACACATGTATACAGTTGTCTTAGCTACAGGACAATCGCAACTCCCATACTTCTACACACATATACAGTTGTCTTAGCTATAGGACAATCGCAACTCCCATACTTCAACACAGATTTACTGTTGTCTTAGCTATAGGACAATCGCAACTCCCATACATCAACACAGATTTACTGTTATCTTAGCTATAGGACAATCGCAACTCCCATACTTCGACACATATTTACTGTTGTCTTAGCTATAGGACAATCGCACCTCCCATATGTCAACACATATTTACTGTTGTCTTAGATATAGGACAGTCGCAACTCCCATACGTCAACACATATATACAGTTGTCTTAGCTACAGGACAATCGCAACTCCCATACGTCAACACATATATACAGTTGTCTTAGCTACAGGACAATCGCAACTCCCATACTTCGACAACGTGACGAGTGTTTAATGCTACTTATTGCCACTGCCATGTCATTATTACCTACTTGTTCACGCTATGACGTCAGTTGGTCAATATTGGCCAGAGGGTGACCAGTGTGACCACAGTGAGGTCATAAACCCATGTCTATGACCTTGGCAACAGGGAATACAAAGTTATACAACTAGATTACTACATGCATGTACAAGTTGTATTGAAATTACACATTAATGTTACATGCAGTATTCTCAATAATAATTTCGCAAAATGGTTAGATGAAAGAAGTCACCAACACACAACAATATATTAGAAAACCGCCACCAATGCTAAAAAAAATAAAAATCGTTGATGCACATGCGCAGCGTGGTCCTAGTTGTGCTTACCCTTAAACCTCCAAGATCCAGGGCCCCGTTCCTCAAAGCGATCTTAGCACTACGATGATCGTAAGCCTATGTTAAAGTATAGGACTTACGATCGCCTTAGTGCTAAGATCGCTTTGAGGAACGGTGCCCAGAGCAGTAAAACACGTTTTGACGCAGTTGTTCATATAATTTTGGTAACAGTGCCGTATGTTTAATATGTATAATAACTTGACTATATGTTCACCAACATTTCGAAAATCAGCTTCTCGTTATCACATTAAGCCGCATGCTTCAAGCTCCCGTCAATACAGAGACTATACCTGGTTATTTTATTGACCAAGTCATACAGTACAGCGTCATGCTAAGTCATACGGTAAGGTAGAGAAACGCCAGGGAAAGGAACAAACACATGGCAGAATATATAATGTAATATCGTAATAGATAGAACTACTCGATATCGTAAAGAGCGTGCACGAAAGGGCTGCGTGGAAGAGGGATTCAAGCTGCGGAGATGTAACGAGATAATATTTATTGGTGATCATGCACAAGAGCGGAGGGAGCCACGGGAGGTCAGTAGGACTGAAGACGTGTTTGACTATGTGGAGAATATAAATGAGGAAACGGTCATGCAGTTGAACATATATACGCAGGCAATACACGTGAAGGATAATGTTATATTTTCACATCAAAGTATGTAATAACCATGCTATAACCAGGGAATTATATACTAGTATGTGATATATGTATATTGTATATAGTCATATACATGTATTAATAAATACCTTGCTTCGTATATTCTGTGAAAAGTGTTACAAAGCATCTAAGTGACAGATGACATTAATTAAACATTAACAAGGCAGTAAATATTTTAATAAAACAATTGCGACTCATATTTTCGCCTGACATTTTTAAACAGCATCAGAAATTAAACCTAAGCGTAACTCTCTGCTCTTTAAATGATCATTGCCAACGCGACATAATACTTCACATGCACTACCGCAGAGTTACATAGGTATCTACCACAGAGTAACATTCATGCTACTCACATCTACAAAGATGACGTCATTGATGACGTCATGTATGGCGTCACTACACGACATATATCTGGCTACACTGCTGCGAGGAGGGCCGTCTTGGAGCATGTATAACAAGTCTCAGCTTCACAATTCAATCAACCAAGCAAAAACACTGCACATTTCTGAAATGTCTATCATAAAAGAACTTTGTGTGTGTGTTATTGCATGGTTGTGTAAGATTCTGCGAAGGGCGTTATAACATGCCCCAAGCGTTTCCTGCGCCTGTGTCATAGTCACCTTTACTTGATCTCGAGGTCATCGTCGTGCGAGGTCTTGTGGGGGATCTTGTCTGACTCCTTGAGGTCTCCCTCGGGCTTCTCCGGGCACTCCTCACTTCCGACCCATAGCTCCCTCGGCCTCGCTGTGGGGATGACGTGGATCTCTGAGGCGAGACGACCGCGGTTCGTCCTCGAGGGACGTTTTTCTTCTCCTGCCTGTGATGCACCTGTTTGGCACTTGTTGGTTTGTTCGTGTTCTTTGTTTCCCTAACTGGTTCTTTTTCTTGACTTGTAGCACATGTTTTGGAATCAGAATGTTGCTGCGATTCATTGTTCGCATTGTCAGTGACATCTGTGTGTATTGTCGTGTCATCCTTCTCATTCCTATCTTGACTCACTATACTTTTGGAGTCTGCTTTCGCATCCTCCTCGCCAGTTCCTCTCTCAGTCAGTGAAGCCCGTGATGTAGCCACGGATTTCTTATCCTGTTCCTCCTCGTCTCCTCTTGGCCCTGGGGCTTGTGCAGCGTCAACCGGGGTGTCTAGCACCTCAGGTTTGACGTGCTTTTCAACACTGATTCTCGAAGCCCTGAGAGATTGTCTAGATTGACCAACGCTACCCCTAGACTGAGCACTGTGCGTACTGCGGATACTCTTGCTGTCCCCCTTAATGCTAATTCTCCTATCTTCCTCTGGCTGTACACCCTTCTCTTCGTCCTTGACATTGGCCTCACCCCTATTGTTCCTTCCAGGCTCCTCCTTTGTTGCAGCAGGAGGCGGATTCTCGGACACTGTGGACTCCTTCCTGGTGTTCTCACTCTCTGTCTGCTGCCCAGCTTGGACCTCTGTACTTTCTATAGTCTTGTTACCTGGAACTAAAGCAGACGTCTTGTCATCTTCGATATCGTCTTCACTGTCTTCGCCTGTCTCATCGTCCTCCTCGCTGCTTGAGTCCTCTTCTTCCTCACTTTCCCCACTTTCATCTTCGTCGTCGCCTTCAACCCTATCCTGTACACCCTCAATCGTATTTGTAACCTCACTCTCTACCTTTACCTCTTTATCCAAATTATCATCCTTAACTGAATCATGAGCCACACTTTCCTTCCTGTGCTCAACCTCAACTTCCTCCTTTCCTACCTCGCCGTTCTCCGCTTTGTCCCTCTCGCCTACCTCGCCATCCTCTTCAACGTCCTTTCCTATCCCTCCGTTGTCTTTAGCCTCACCATTATTAACCACCTCACTCGGATCTTCAGTTTCGGCCATTTCCTCTGCCTTAACGTCTGAATTAACACCAACCTCACCCTGCTCCCCATCGTCATTGGCGATATCCTCCTGGACCTCTTGTTTAACCTCAACCTCTTCCTTTTCCTCAACTTCAGCCTCTCCCTTTTCCTCAATCTCAGCCCCGACCTGTTTCGTCGTATCAGTTTCACTCCCGTTCTCCTCGTTCTGTGTTTCCTGTTGATCGCCATCTTGTCTGTTGGCCTGACTCACAATCTCGATCTCATCCTGGCTGCGGGTGGAGTCGGAATCCTGATCTGACTGCCTCCTAGGAGCCTTAACGTACACGGTTGATATCGGAGGCTGGCCTCTTGTAGTATCACCCTCAGTTTGACTCAAACTAGAAGTTTCAAACTCAAAGTCTCCGTTTTCATCCTTTTTACGACCATCCAAAGAGGAAGACTCCTGGTTTCCCCCAGTGCCACCGTCTCGCTGCCAAGACTCGCTTTGGTCTTCCTCCGCATTTTCTCTTGTATTGTCAGCCTCTGTAGAATCTGCTCCAATCACATTATGTGATTCATTCTCTGACAGCCTCCGGGTCTGTAACGTTTCATCTGTATCATCTCCATTACTTCCTTGCTGTATCTCACTGTCCTGATTTGAATGCCCATTCTCCATCCGTTGCCCTGGCCGTTCGTCCACCTGATTACTACCGCTTGTCTCCTGTAATTCTTCGCTATTTTCCCTATCATCTGAATTAATTATTACCTGATCCTCTCCCCTACTCTCGTCACCACGTGACTGTGAAGCTTGCCCTGGCACACATGACTCCTTTTCGTCTAAACCTGCGCCACTGTCTGTATCGCCTTCATGGGATCTTTTCTCCGGAAGTTGGTTCGGGTCTTCAGTTTGGGGTTGGCTATGTTCCGACCTGACGTCACTTCTTTCCGCTGTACCACTAGGGGGCGTTTCCTCCTGTGACTGGGTCTTTGAAGGGTCAGAATCGTTCGTATCCATGCGATTGTTTTCTGTCCCATCTATTTCCGCTTCTCGCTCTGCTGAGTCGGATTTTTCAGTCAGTGATTGTCTACGCTCTGTTGTGTCGTCAGCTGTTTTACTTACGCTGTTATCTGCCGTAGAACTGTGCTCTTGTGCTGCGGCTTGTGATTCACCTGTTTCCGTTGTTTCGTCGACACGGTTATTGGTTTCTTCTTTTTCTGACCTATTCTCTTGTGATTGGTTAGGATCTTTAGAATGTGCTTGACTGATTTCAGCGGTGACGTCATCTGCCTCATTTTCCTCATCCCCGGAATCGTCATTCTCAGACTCTGATCCACTTTCCCCCCCTTCCTCATCCCCAGCCACTTCCCCGACGTGATTATCTCCCTTCGCATCACGTGACGTAACAACCTGACCCGTATCGTCCGCTTCTTTTTCAGTGTCAGTTTTCTCAGAATCTGGCAGAGCATTTGGGGATCCAGAATCATGGCTACCATTTTCGTTTGAGCTATTTGCAGCTTCGGCATGTTTACCGGAACTGTTCTCTCTCTCATCACTGTTACTATGTGCATCCTCCACGTGATCCCCGAGCTCATCCCCACCCCCTTGTTCTGCAGAACTCTTCTGCTCTACCTCACTACCTACACTGACCTTCGATTCGTCCATATTGTCTTTACTCACAGGTTTACTACCGGTATTTGGTAAACCTCCCTCGGTATTACTCCAATCCTGCCCTGATTCTGGCTCATGCGCGTCCAGTGCGGAGGCTGATGGTCAAATCAAAAACAAACAGTTGATCACTACGACGCTTCTTACCAGGGGAGGCTAGGAAATGACGGCGGAGGAAAGGCGAAGCTGTAGCGAACTAACGACACACCAAACTGACACAAACAAGCTAAATAAAGAGGGAAGACAACACAGATAAATATATTGCCATAGCGACGAAAACGTTGCTAGGAAACACAGCAAGGTTTTGATTTGGGAACGACGATTCAATTATCGGTTGTCTTCAAAATAACATCAATACACAAGAAGAGAAAGGCTGAGTCAGATGATGCGTGTGTGCAGTCAATGGACTCGTTAAAGGTGCTCCGTCATTGTCTACAACAATACCATCAACGTCGCATAGGCTTTATAGATTGACCACAGAAAGAACATAATGTCAATTTTTCATCAGAAATACATTTTTTGAAAAATATACACTGTATCTACGTAAATGCTTGATGATAGTAACCCATGGTTGTATGATATAGAAATAGTACGCCCGTAAGAAATATTGAACGTTTCCGCTTAACTGAGAAGTTTAATTTAAATTATCACATATGTCAAAACAAATGACGAAATGGCAATTTTCGCGCAGTCGTATAGTATCGATAATAATTTAAATATCTGCTTTTTGTTATATCCAAATGTTAACGGAACAGTTATTTAAACAGACTGCCTGTCATCCATATTTGAAGACTATTCGTTCATATATAAATTCGTTAATCCATCAATATTGACGTATCCTGTTATAACAACGCTGTTGATATGATATAAAACGGTCATCACAATGATGGAGCATCTTTAACTGAATGGAAGGTCAGGCTATATAAGACATTGATTAAGCGGGAATTAACGTGCAACAGAGAAACAACAGTTAATAGATTGGCTATCAAAGGCAGGACGAGGTCGAGTGCGCGGGCTCAACACAGGGTCGGTGCATGTAAGTGCGATGTTGAGGAGTGTTATGACAGGTCACCGTCAACGTAGGTTCTGCAACAGGGTTTGTGCATGTAAGAAGTGTTATAACATTTCACGGTTATAATAGGGTCTCCGTGTCGGCTCTCAACGGGGCAGGTGCATGTCAGGGTGATGCAGGGGAGTTGTCAAACAGCAGTCGTGTTGATATAGGTCTCCATATGGGAAGAAAATGTGCTTGGGGAACGCTCTTACTTGGAATCTCTCCAGCATCTTCTCGGGGCTCGACTAACTCAAGACAGTTGTACATGGAGGCTGCTCTATAGGGTTGTGTTTGGGACAGCATTTGTTTATTAGTCCACACACTTAGCCCAGGTCACGGGAAATATTACTGTTCCATTTTGGAGATGATATGTTTTTCTGTTATCCCCTGTCGCTGGGTTCCATTGTATCGAACCCATGGGGCGGTCGGGTAGCCTAGTGGTTAAAGCGTTCGCTCGTCACGTCGAAGACCCAGGTTCGATTCCCGACGTGGGTACAGTGTGTGAAGCCCATTTCTGGTGTCCCCCGCTGTGATATTGCTGGAATATTGCGGCGTAAAACCATACTCACTCGCTCACTCACTCACTCACTCACTGTATCAAACCCCAAAACTTTGCTTAATGAGGGGCGGAGGTGTATCATAGAGGTTAAACGTTGACTATCCAGGTTTGATTCCCGACATGGGTACAATGTGTGCAGCAATATTTCTAGTGTGCCCCACCATGATACAATGCTAAAATCAGCGTAGATCCCACTCACCTAATGTAGGGATGCAACGAGGAAGTCTCATATACAAGCGTGCGAATAACGGGGTTAACACCCTAGTATCATGTCATATACCTGTAGGCACACATCTTGGCCACGCATGTTGAACACACACGGTTGAACTGACAACTGTCATCTACTGTAGATATTCTGTAGTCTATAATCTAAATGTCTATGTATAAAGAAGAGGGCGTAGATAGTGGACTTCTAAATGCCTAATATATGTACAAAACGGACATAAACCGTCTACTTTGCAAATTGGAGTAAATCTAAACGACACTGTTCTACTTTTACAGGACTTACTGCGCATGTTGTAACAAACAATAAACACAATATTTACAAAACAAAACTGAAATAAATAAAGACATTATTAACCACACCATTCACGCTTAGAAACATAAAAAAGCTGGGTTAGTGTAAGCTGTAAGTTAGCGCCTGTATACATAGATACAATATATATATAGATGTATAATATATGGTTACTATATGAATATGTCCCACTGTTCCTGTCTCTCGTCTTACAGAAATGACAGACAATATATCTTATCACCCCAAACTGGCTTCCAGGGGAGATATAGCTGAATTACATTGCATCAGAATGCTTTGGAGAAAATTGTGACGTCATTACAATGACGTCACAATGAAATGACATCACTAATTTCTCTGCCTCTGAAACTTGTTACCTATACTTTTTACACTCAAGATACTGGTTATTACCGTTCATAAACTGAAACAGTCGGAGAATGATTTTTGATGATAAAAAGAATCTCACGCTCGTGTCTTTTGATATCAAATGTATGAACGCACGTGAATAAAAGTTTAAATTTTATCGACGCGTGTTGATATATTTAATATCAAAATAGACACGGGTGAGATTCCCTATCAGTAAAAACAACAACAACAGCAATATTAATATTAAATGGTTGGTCCCATTGAGTGTGTAATGCTCGGTAAGGGCTGTGCATTGGTATACAGCGGCCCGTACAGTGACCTTTTAATATCATAAGGGTATACAAGTAAGCATTCTTGATGCATTTGTTATAAAGGAGGCACACGTCCAATACCCAGATGGGATTGGATGTATAACCTTGGTGTCAGCCAAACAATGCTCAAACACCGTAACATCCATGTTTGGATCCATTGGAGGTAACTGTGGCTTCAACAAGGCCAGCGTTGAGATTATGATAACACGTATCAGACTCTTAACTCACCCACAACAAAAATAACAGTTCTGGAAACAATTAAATCCAAGGGTTGGAGAATAACCCCAGGAACCTACTTTGACATACAGTAAAGTTCTCGTAGTGACAAATACCGCCATTTATACATTTACCAACCAAAGGAAATATAGAAATATAGGTTTTCACATCTATTTCAAAACATGCATTTCATCTCTGCAAACACATACCTGATTCAGTGTCTGTTTGTTCCTCTTGCCGGTTGCCTTCATCTGGTTTTCGGTCTGAACTGTTCTTCCGGTCCGACTTGGCTCCATCTTTCTCCTCCTTCCGTTTGTCGGCGCTGTCTCGTCGTTGTGCTGGGTCCTCTTCTTTGCTGACTTTCCTGGAGTTTCCTTCTTCGGAATGCTCCCCTGTTTTGTCCTGTGGGTTTCAAATATTCACCTTTATATTTACTTTTGTTTTATGCGGGTTCATCATTGTATCAAGCTATCTTAATCGTCGGTGATTAAATTGCTAAATCTCTCAGCGCTAAAAAATCCCGGTTAACATCAATGTTACTTTGATATCATTGTGAACATAGCCGTGAAATAAACATTTATGTAAACGTCGGCATCAATGTCACCATAACGTCTTCCAAGTTCAATATAACCTTACCATCAATGATAACCTAACTTTGGCATCAATGGAGACATAACGTTGACATCAGTGGTTACATAACCTTGGCATCGATGTTATACCATGGCATCAATGGTAACATAACCTTGGCATCGATTGTAACATAACCTTGGCATCGATGTTTACATAACCTTGGCATCGATGGTAACATCTTTGGCATCAATGGTAACATAACTTTGGCATCAGTGGTAACATAACCTTGGCATCGATGTTATCATAACATGGCAGCAATGATAACATATCCCTGGCACCGATGTTATCATAACATGGCAGCAATGATAACATACCCCTGACACCGATGTTATCATAACATGGCAGCAATGATAACATACTCCTGGCATCAATGGTAACATAACTTTGGCATCAGTGGTAACATAACCTTGGACATCGATGTTATACCATGGCAGCAATGATAACATACCCCTGACACCGATGTTATCATGACATGGCAGCAATGATAACATACCCCTGACACCGATGTTATCATGACATAGTAGCAATGATAACATACCCTCTGGCATCAATCATAACTTAATTCTAAACATCGACGTTATCATAACCTGGGTACCAACACAATCTCAACAGCAATGATAAATAACCTTTTAATCAATGTTAACAAGAACATCAACGCCAGCGTCAGTATACATGTCAACACCAATGTAAGGTTATCTGCAGTTAGCTCTACGCTTGTTTATACGAGTCGCAAACAGAAGTAAACACTTTTGTGGGTACCCTAGCAATCAGCCCATAATTATTTGTTGCGTAAGAATGTTTTTTAGGTTTCATGCTAATGACATGTTCCGAGCGGTCGATACGCTATAGTTTTTTTTCTGAAGTGACGTTTGACAAACATTCTACTCTATCAGCAACGTCCATCAGTTCCATTTGCCAGTTTGTATCAATGGTGTATCGATGGCAAACCGGAGTTAGCACTCGAACTAGACTCTGCCAGTACCTCGGACTCGTTAAGAAAAATGAATACATTGCATGCCAGTATATCGACCTGAGACCACGGTCAGTGTGTGAAGAAAGAACCTCATAAATATTCATTAGTCCACACAGTATTTGATAAACCGCGAAAACTGGTAATGGGGATAAACGGGAGACTGGCTTCCTGCAGCCGTTATGCAGCGTGTCAGTGATGGGACACCGCCGGTACATGCCAAGTTATACCTAGCCCTACATGGCGTCGTGTAACACTGATTCGTACACAATGATAGGATGTGTTACGTATGCGACTGTGGAAAACCATTATGACGGTTTATTATGTGTTTAGTCATAGACTATGTTTCTATGAAACTGATATTACCACAGAGTGAAAAGATCTATATGCCGGAACTACTTTTCCGTATCAATGTTTAGTTTTGTTATCAGTAAAAGAAGGCAAGTAATGATAAATAGATTAGGTCATATGACACGGCAATCACTAATCGTGACCGTAGAAAGTTATAATCAACCTTGTCAGGTCACTCCAACAAATCAACATGTTTGCAAGACGAGAGCAGGACACTCTACTTATTCTAAACTTGGCAGCAAAGTAGCGATATTGAAAAATGACGTCAACATTACGTCATGGACAAATAGCTCGACGTCATTGAACAAGTATATGCATCTTTATTTAGAGCGTCCATAACAGCGTAATTTCTATTGAGTGAGTGAGTGAGTGAGTAAGGTTTAACGCCGCTTTGGACAGTTTTCCAGTTATACCACGGCGCGTCAGCTTAATGTGGCAGGTCCGAAGTGATGAAGGTCTCACACGTTTACCACTTCGGTGAAACCCACGAGCACGGGCGTGGTACTGATAAACCTAGAAACATAATCGGGGAGAACCGGGATTCGAACACAAAACCATTGGTTTCTGGCGTGCCCAAGGGACGCAACTCAGCACAGGGTAATTTTGAATTGATTATCTATTATTATCTAGTAAAATAACATTTTTGTCTCATAGCTCCACAAAAATATTGAATAACGTAATGAGAAAACCTTGTTGTTTGACAAGATTAGCCCGATATCCGACGCAGTTTTGCGGTGTGTGACTAATATGAGTTCTATTATGATTAAGAAATATCTATCACACAATTCATTATGACTTCATATAACCACTATGACGATATATCACCAGTTTTGCGATGTGTGACTATTATGACTTCATATAACCCCTATATAGATATATTTCCAGTTTTGCGGTGTGTGACTATTATGATTTCTATGATGATTAAGAAATATCTATCACACAATTCATTATAACTTCATATAACCACTATGACGATATATTTCCAGTTTTGCGGTGTGTGACTTTTATGATTTCTATTATGATTATGAAATATCTATCACACAATTCATTATGACTTCATAACACCATATAGGACGATATAGTCAGCGTCATTTTTTAGGGGTCACGTAGATAATAAAAGATAAAAGTATTGAAAAAACGTCGCATTTTCAACTTCAAAGAGTGCAGCGCATTTGCATCCGGAATGAACCGTTATATACCCACACTACTGTTACTTGCCATGTATAGCACGTGCATGTGCTAAACCACTGGTTGCGTTCAGGAGTGTGTTTTGTGGTAGCTATTTCGGTGAATAACCATTATGACGGATTAATCACAATGTTGGTTGGTTGGTTGGTTGTTTAACGCCGCACTCAGCAATATTCCAGCTATATGACGGCGGTCTGTAAATAAACGAGTCTGGACCAGACAACCCAGTGATTGAGCATCATGAGCATCGATCAGCGCAATTTGGATCGATGACATGCATCAACCAAGTCAGCGAGCCTGACCACCCGATCCCGTTAGTCGCCTCTTACGACAAGCATAGTCGCCTTTTACGGCAAGCATGGGTTGCTGAAGACCTATTCTACCCCGGATCTTCACGGGTCTAATACCATTTTGAAGAGAATGATGATCATAAAGCAATTAGGTAGTTATCACATTAAAAACTATTATTATAACTTGTCCACCGGCCTCGAGGACTACATCAACCCATGTCACGCGAGGATCCGGTGGACAATGAATTTATCTCACAGCACACCCAAATGTATTGCAGGCATGTCTTGTGCATGCAAGCTTTTGTCCGAATCGGTAAGAATATCACAGTTATGCATCATTCGTGACCAACTCGTGTTATTCCGGGACAAGCCGAATAGCGACTCGTGCCCCTCTCGTGGCCATTTTTGCGACTAGGTTCCGTCTTAGCGCAAACGGGCATACCTAAAACAATTGTCAACTCGTTGCGTAATGGTTCACATATATTTCCCCATATATTATATATATTTCAGATGCAATTTAAAGGACATGGGGACGTGCGGAATTATACAGTATGATTGAACAAATTTAACTGTGTCTTGGGTATATTTTTAGATGCAAGACATATGTAAAATCAAAAAATATTTCTGAGGGATTATTTGACAAAGAACTCGAAATCATACGCGCATTCTGATTGGTTTGTCGTATTTTCGCACATAACATTCATCGACAGGGGGACGAGTCTTCTTGCAGGTTACGGAAAGGGGCGAGTGGTGACGAATGAGTTATGCATGTATCCAGTTTGTTGTGGCAGAAAACAGACTTAAGTTATTCCCCCTAGATATATTTCATTCGGAAAATATCGTAAATATCCGGATAATGACGTCGAACATAATTAATTCGAGATACAAAATTGTGGTTGGTATGTTGCAGATGTAATGTCAACTGTTCACCAATTCGAGTGAGGAACACAAGAAGTCTAACTTACATGCCAGCGGGGTACATTGAAAACTATAGAATGGATATCACCCAATCAGAATCCGACATCCACGTGTAACGTTAGATAAATGTGAATAAACAAAAACGTTAAATGTCTTGCATGAACCAAAAGCTAAACCATTACCGTTGAGGGAAGATTCAAGGACTGCCAGTAACAATAATACCAAACACAAACAGCCCTAAATCACCTGTACATAATAAAGTAGTACATATCAAGTGACAGTCCCGCTCCAGGAGAGGTACCCACTGAGACGTGTACTAGCTCAACGACTGCCCCGCCGCTATGTAAACAACCTTCCACATTTATGGCACTCCCAGTTGTACACAGGACCTCTGACACTACTCCTAGCTTTACTGTGTGTACCTTGAAATGAGATCCTGAACGGCGACAGCTCTTACAGCCATACATTAGCGCCATATACACGAGGACCGTGTTATCTAAGTGTTGTTGACTAGTATATACAGGCACAAGTTCGTAAAGTTGAATGAGTGTGGTTCAACGCTGCCTTTATCAATATTCCAGCCATATCACAGCGGGGGTTGGAAGGGGTGTGAGACATGGGCTTCATTCAGTGAAATCATTTAGGGAATCGAACCCGAGTGTACGGTGTGACGAGCGAACGCTGTAACCCCTCGGCTACCCGGCCGTCCTTGTTATTATAAGCGATGGGGAAATACTAGTCTGTCATACAGACCCTGAAACAAATATATCCAATACAGCCCATGCAAGTCAATAATGTTTGGCAAGTCTAGATTACTGCGGTATAAGTCTCTGGGCTTTTTATTATATTTTATAACTATAATTTAACAACTGTATTTTCTGTAAAGTATGTTCATTTCAGCAACTTGATGTTAGTCTAGGGAAATACGTACAGAAGACTACCATCTGAGTGAGTGAGTGAGTGAGTATGGTTTTACACCGCTTTTAGCAATATTCCAGCAATATCACGGCGGGGGACACCAGAAATGGGCTTCACACATTGTACCCATGTCGGGA